CAACCCCCCCCCCCAGAAAATGTATCCCAGAGCAGCCACTGTCTAGGCCTTTAGGCCTATGCAGAATGTGGCCCGAGGCTACTAAAGAATAGGCCTAATTGTTAATACGTTACTTTATACAATACAGGGGTTTGGTTAAGCACATCTTTTGATGACAATTTTTATAACTTTTGCTTTTCCTCGGCACCCCTGCCCAACTTTTCTATTTTTGTCGAAATATTGAAAATAAAAATAAAATAAATAAATACAAATTGCAATACAGACATTGGAAAGTTAATATATTTAATTTAATTAAATATTTAACATTCTGTTGATGACAGTTTTTTCTCGTTTGTGTAACTAGCTGGCAATTTTGTGAAACATTACAAAGTAATAAATCTTCAGCAGTTATGTTGTAATAGAAGTTGTAATTTTAATTTATTAGGCCCATTTTGTCTTCCAGTAAGATAATTTGTTAATTGGATTAGGTTGGAATATCCAGACAAGTACAATCTGTGATTACGGCCTAATCCCTACCGCTAAAATAATAATAACTAGGCCTAGGGCCTATGTATTATTTTACTCTGTGTAGACCCCATAAATTGATAATGTTCCAGGGATCCTAATTTTGGAAAGAAAATTACACAGGGACAACTTATTTTTTCTTAAATTGGTTGTACCAGGGAGTTGCTTGTTTTGTTTTGGTATGCTGTGTGATAAAAGACAGGGCCTACTCTATATCGAGGACGAACTATAAGTATAACTGAAAGACGAACTATTGCTAAAATTATGCATGACGTCAACATGCGAAGCCACGCCCTCGGCTGAACACGTTGTATTTAGCAACTACCCAACGGACGTGCATGAAATTTTTGTGTGCACATAAACTATAAAGGTGATTTTCCAACAAACGTTCATTGCCCTTTTTTTAAGTCAACAAACTTTAAAAGCGTCCAGCGTCGCCAGTTTTAAACGGACGTGCAGGAAATTTTCTACTCATAAACTAGGACCCCAGGGCTCCACCTACACCTACAAACAACGGTGGCAGAACGTTTTTGAAGGGGGGGGGTGCATTTGATAAGGTCTAAGGTTATAATTTCTAGTGGCGAATCCAGGAATTCGAAATCGAGGGGGCCGGTGTGGGGGTACTTTCACAGATGGAGAACCTATACTACCTGAGCTCCACCATGGTTGGGGTTGAGGTAAGAAAAGTTGTGATTATGGCCGGATGACCGCACTTCCAGACATAAGTTTGTAATATAATTTTCTTTATATCTGGACATTAAAAAAATTTAACAGTTTAGGGGGAGGCGGGCGGCTGGGTCCTGCTTTCGCAAATGGAGGACCTATACCACCTCAGGCCCACCATGGTTAGGGCTGAGGTAAGAAAATTGTGATTATGGCACCTCTAGATAGCCGGAAATTGCACTCTTAGATTTAATATTTCAGTATAATTTTCTTTATATCTCCATTAAAAAAAATGTTTGAACAAGTTAGGCCCCTCCCCTTGAATCTGTTCAAAGTTGCTTCCACGATCTCAAAGATGATTATTTATCATGAGGGGTATTTTTGATATGGGCATACCTTCACTTTCCCCCCGATGAATAAAATGTACCCTTCTATAGTAGCCTAGAAATGATTTTGTCTGTTTTGTCTAAAGAACAAGTATGGAAATTCACATGTATCGTCGATATGCGAGAACCACCTTAAACTCAGTTCTAAAAAAAATCAGTTTTTTACATTTAGTATGTGACTGTTGATTTGGAGTGAAATTATGTTTCATGCTCATACACATGTTCGTATTTGTATCGTCGATATGCGACAACTGCCATCAATTCATTTGTGACTGAAGTGTTAATTTGGAGTGTAATTCAGAGTTAATACGGATTATTTAATGGATAATAAATAATAGATCAATAAAGTTGTTCAAATAAAAATGTGTTTAATATATTTCTTTCTCATCGGATACACAGTTGAAGTTTGGTTTCCTCTGATCATATTATTTAAATGGTCACTAGTATGTCTTGTGTAGTAGAAGATATGAAACGTAAGGTTAAGATAGATGGTGTGGATGATATTTCGTGTTTTTTTTTTTTAAATTTTAATAAGTTTCTTCAAAATATCCTATTCATGTAGAAGTAACTGCAAAAAAAATTTCAAAAAAATAGAAAAATTCAAAAAATACCCAAACAATACGCTGTGTAGAAATTACAAAAAAATTTAAAAATCCAAAAAATCCTAAATGTTTCCAAATAATTTCAAAAGAAAATTCAAAAATTTCAAAATTAAATTCTAAAATTCCAAAAGAAATTTCTCCAAAAATTGCAACAAAAAATAAAAAAATAAAACAAAACAAAAGCAAAAAACAAAAACAAAAACAAAATTAAAATTTAAGCCAAAAATTTAATAAAACCTAAATAAGGAACCATCACTATGATTAACGAAAATAATCCAACTTACCCAAATTAACCAATATTGGGGTTTTTATCTGTAATTAATACACAGCATATTGTTGGTTGGTGGGGGAATTTTGAAGAGAAATAATTAGTATGACCCACATCATCTATTTGAATGTCTAATATTATCCTTTGTTTTTTTCAACGTTACAAACGGTCTTCCGTAATATTGAAACCGTTTATCCTAGTGTGACCTTAGTTTAAACTAGTTGTATAATATGTCGCTGTCTTGGTTTTCTACATCGATCATTATGACTTATACGTGTTTCTATCGTTTAAATTCCATCGTGCTTTTCCCCGATGAATTTAGCTAGCGTCAATGGGCGTGGAGGTACATTTAGTAATTGTTTACAATTGTCCAAGCAGAAGCTCTGAGATACAGGTGAACCGTTAAGTCGCACTTACAACAACCGACAGGCAGGTATCATTGGTGACACACAAAGTAACAGGCGTGAGGAAGGGAGAAGACTTGTTTTTACATTATGCATTGATAAGTTTTTACATTATGCGTTAGAAAATGTTTTTTGCATTTTGCGTCAAAAGTTTTTACATTATGCGTTAGCAAAATTTTAAACATTAGGCCTATTCGTTGATTTTACATTATGCGTTACCGGTATTTTTTACATTAAGCGTCAAACCTTTTTACATTATGCGTTAACCAATTATTTTGTTACATTATGCGTCGTTTTTACATTAACATTTGTTACAACTGCTACTACCGGGCGAGGGCTCCGATTACTAAAACCAGGAGTCCCATTTACGC